GAAGGATCCGAATAGAAGTCATCTTTGCAACTGGTGCAAGTGTCTCTAAGTAATCAATGCCATAGGTTTGAGTGTGCCCTTTTGCAACCAGTCTGGCCTTATACCTTTCTATACTTCTATCTGCCTTGTATTTAATTGTATAAACCCATCTATATCCAACAGTCTCGTTGCCCTTAGGTAGATCCACAATCTCCCATGTATGATTCTTAATTAAGGCTTCCATCTCTTCCTGCATAGCCGTCTTCCACTCAGGTTTGGAGAGAGTCTCATTGACACCCTTGGGTATAGACACAGAGTCAAGGGAAGAAGGGAAAGCACGATAAGAAGGAGAAAATCCACTGTAGGATAGGTACTATGAGAAACAATGAGTAGTACACTTTCTCTTCCCTTTTCTGAGTGCAATAGGAAGGTCCAGGTCATTTGTAATGGGATTAGTAGAATCAATAGGAACTGAAGCATTAGAGGGATAAAGAGGAATACTTGAGTCCATGTCAGCTGAATCTGGAGTCTCCAAGGAACCGATAGGAAGTGATGTGGGTTCTGTTGCAGTGGAATCAACCTCCCTGTGAAGTTGTAGTTGTTGACGTGAGTAACATTGAGAAGTAGGACGCAAGGGAGGTGGCGAGATAGGTGATAAAGGAGGATCAAACACAGGAGTGGACACATGGACTGAAACTGGAAGAGGAATAGACTGCTCACTCATTTCCCCAAAACACTCCCCCTGAGAAGAACCCTTCGAGAAAAAGGATGTGGACTCAAAAAAGGTGGCATTCATAGTAACATACCGATTCCCAGAGACTGGGTCATAGCAGCAATACCCTTTCTGATTTTCTGCATACCCCAAAAAAAAACACTTCCTTGCCTTTGGATTGAGCTTCGAGCGGTGAGGACCAAGCACATGTGCAAAGCAAACACAACCAAAAACCTTGAGAGGGATGTGGAACATCTCCCCCTCAGGAAAAAGGAGGCTGAATGGGGTGCTGAATCCAAGTACACGAGAGGGCACCCTATTAATCAGGAAAACTGGTGTGAGAACTGCATCACCCCAAAACCGAACTAGAATAGTGGATGTGATCATCATGCTTCTTGCAATCTCAATAGTGTGTTTGTTCTTCCTCTCCGCAACACCATTCTACTATGGACTGTAAGAACAACTGCTTTGATGGATAACTCCATACTCTTAACAAATATGAAGCAAGGTTCTTCTCAAAATATTCCTTGGCATTGTCTGACTTGAACACCTTCACTTGTACCCCAAACTGTGTTAGCACCATTTGATGAAATTGTTGAACCAAGGATGGTACCTCATCACGGGATCTCATTAAGTAAATCCAAGAATACCGAGAAAAATCATCCACAAATAAAAGAAAATATCGGTAGCCACCCATAGAAGGAACATGGTATGGTTCCCACACATCAGTATGAATAACATCAAAAGCAGATAAACACCTTTTATTACTAGCTTTAAATGAATGTCTACAATGTTTTCCAAGCTGACAACTTTCACACTCTAAGCTAGACAAATTAACAGACTCAAATAACTTCGGAAACAAGAAACGCAAAGAAGAAAAAGACAAATGTCCTTAGCGATTATGCCAAAGCATAATCTGACTCACAGACTCTGACTCAAAATCCCTGCTAACATGATGACTCGATGATGAGGAAGCACATCCAGGAGGTAGATTCCATTCACCTCACCACCACTCCCAATCGTCCTCTTTGAAACCAGATCCTGCAAAACACAATGGCCAGGAGAAAAAATCACTGAGCAATTCAAGTTCTTAGTCAAACTACTAACATATAACAAGTTAGTACTCAATCTAGGAACATGAAGGACAGAGGGTAGGGAAATGGAATCAGTAATCTTGATAGACCCCTTCCCAGCAATGGGAACATGAGATCCATTGGCTATGAAAACCTTGTCTCTGCCAGAACAGAGTTGGTAAGAAGAAAAAATAGTGGAACTATGGGTCATGTGTTCAGAGGCTCCAAAATCTATAATCCAAGGAGGTCCCTCCTTACCTGTAGTAGAAACATAGTTTGCAGTGGCATGTGAACTACCTATATGTAGATCTATTCATGGGCCGAGTAGCCTAACGGGCCGGTCCGGCCCCCGGATGGGCTCGAGAATGCGTTTTAGCCCACGGGCCTAAAAGCCCGAGCCCGGCTATTTTACGGGCCGGGCTCGGGATTTGTTAAAAAAGCCTGGCCCAATCCGACTTTTGTATAAGTTAAACCCTAAATTCCTAAACTACCTAACCCTAACCCTAAATTCTTAAAACTTTTCTTTTCATTCTCATTTCTCACTCTCACACTCCCAGAAGTTAGAATCGGCGAACCCAGTTGCACCTGCGAACTTAGGCACCGGCGGCCGGCGCTAGCAGAACTAGTCGTCTCTCTCTCTTTCTCGCCGGCACCATTTTCATCTTCTTTCTTTTCATTCTCAGTTTTCTCTTCTTAGAACTAGGTCTTCTATCTTCTCAGTTCTCTCTCCAGTCGGTGCCACTAGAACCCAGGCGTACCATTTTCACTTTGCGAACTCAAGCATCGACGACTGGTGCCACCAGATCTAGGTCGTCTCTCTCTCTCTCTCTCTCTCTCTCTCTGGCCGGCACTATTTTCATCTTCTATCTTCTCACTTTCTCACTTTCTATTCTCACTCTCAAACTCCTAGGAATTGGCGAACTCAGCTCAGGCTTCATTCTCTCAATCTCAGAGGGCATCGACACTCATACTCCAAGTTGGGCTTTGGGCTCGGGCCCAGGCTTCAGGCTTTTTATGAGGGATGGGCTCGGGCTCGGGCCTGAAAAATTTCTGCTAATGAAGAGCAAAAGCCTGGCCCATGAACAGGTCTACCTGTATAAGCAATGGAAGTAGAATGTCCTCCACCAGAACCACCTGTACCTAGCTGTCCATCTGTTACCGGATTAGAGCTAACTGTATCTCGCTGATTTAGTAACTGCCCATATCTCTCAGGTTCGGCCCTCACTGCAGCAACTGCAATAGACTCCAAAGTAGTTGTAATAGGGGGGCCAGGTAAGTCACTAGTGACTGTCATGTTAGCATTTCCCTTATTGTTTTTGAGTCTATTCGGCACAAGGTGAGGATGAAGTTTCCAGTAGGTATCTCTCGTGTGTTTAGACTTCTTACAGTAATCACAAATCAGATCCTTCTTATCTTCATTCCTGGTTTCATTGCCACCCTGGTCTCCACTCTGTTTAGGTTTCGCAGTACTAACCATGGCTGACTGCTCAAGACCTGAATTCTTCATCATTACATTCCTCCTACTCTCTTCCCCTGATACAAAGGCATATGCCTTAGAGAGAGTAACACTATCCCTGGAAAGGATATGTTGCCTTGCAATATCATACTCGGGATTGAAACCAACAAGAAATTCAAAAACCCTATTCTTCTCTAAGAGTTTCTGGTAGGCAGCAACATCCTTAGTGGTTTCCCAAACCACTGTCTCTGAATGGTCAATCTCCTGTTATAGGGTTTTAAGGGCTAAAAAATAAACAACAATAGGTTTATCTCCTTGTCTGGCAGAGATAACTTGGTTCCTCAACTGATATGCCCTAGCAACATTTTCATTCTATGAGTAGGTTTCTGCACTCCATCCCAAATTTCCTTAGATGTATTTGGCCACAAAAAAATTTTACTTATATGGGGCAACATAGAATTACATAGCCAAGTCATTACCATATAGTTTTCCTGTACCCACTGGGAACTATTAGTCTCGGGTTTCACTTCCTCACCAGTGATATACCCCAACTTCCCACGAGCACCAATGGCCATCTTTGCAGATTGTGACCATTCTAAAAAATTTGTACCACCCAACTTAACTGTAGTGATGGTTCCAGCCCCGAAAAGTTCTCTGACACCTTCTCTCACTGGTCCCATTTCACTGCCCAGTTTGTTCTCAACTCTGTGACCCTCCATAATCCCCCAAAAAGAGGTAAAAGATCATTTTAAGATGAAAGAATATGAAATAAAACCCTTCAGGCACCACAGACACCCTTCTGGTACCCTAGATGATCCTTCCACAAAAGATTCCCTTTCTATGGGACGCGAGAAGAGAGAGAAGAAGCAGCCGCTCCCTCCCGAAATAGATGGGACTTGAACTACCCCTTCAAAAAACTCCAAGGAACCCTTAAAAATTAGGGCACCACTTCCTAGGTCAAAATTGAAGAGTCCTACAAAAACAGGACGCTCCCCCTTTCTCCAGTTCTTCCTAAATTTGATGGGAAACCCTAGACCAGCTACAGGACAAAACTGATCCACCAAAAAATCCAAAAACTGGGCTTACCTGAGGTCTTCAATCAGCCTCTCATATCACCATGCAATTGGCCGATCTAGGGCTGCATGATAAAGCAGCTCAAGAAACCTTCGGCCTGCTCTGATACCAAGTAGAATTTGCTGATAGTAATTTTAGATGAATGCCTTGTGAAAAAAAGTAGAAGAAGCTGAAAGGTTTCAGCAGTAGAGAAGAAGAAGAGAGAAGAAAAGAGAGTGGGATGTTGCCAGATTTGAATAGGTTTGGCTGCCAGCCCCAAGATTACATGAATACCCTTAGTAGGGTGGCTACTTTAAGTAGCTAAACAGTCGCAACTTAAAATAACATAAACTAATGGGCCTAAGGCCCAATAGCTTCCTAACTCAACAACTTAAAAGTAAAAATAAGACTGGGCCCAATAACTTAAATTCGGCCCAACTCAACAGCTACATTAGCACTAGTCTCCAATTGCTTCTGGGCTTTTCTTTTTTTTTTTTTTGTTGTAAATAAAAGTCACACATGATGTCTCATGTTTTTTGCCTTTTTCTTTTTAATTTTTTCCTGTACTGTTGCTTCTTGCAAAGAGGATTTTTGTAATCAGCTTATAGAAAGGAAATTCAATATACTTCACCTTCTCTTTAAAAAATGCAGTTCAGCTAAGAATTTTATGCATTTCTTTGTTTCTCATAAAACATTTCATGTACTAATATATGTGTACTGCATGTAGGGCTTTCATTCCGTACCACAGAGGAGAGCTTGAGAAATGCTTTTAAAAACTTTGGCCAACTCATTGAAGGTGAGAATAATGGAATGCATGTTCAAGTTTAACCAGTTTATTGTTATTATTTTCCCCCATAGAATTCCTTTATATGGAACTTCAAAGTCCTATGTAACTTAGGTTCTTATTTAACGTCAAGCTCCTGCAGAATTTCTTTTGGCCAATCATTTTTCAAGTATTTTTGGAATTTGAAATTGTACTTGTTCATTTTACAGTTAACCTTGTGATGGATAGAAGAGCTAATAGACCAAGAGGCTTTGCTTTCCTTCGTTATGCAACTGAAGAAGAATCTAAGAAAGCCATTGAAGGAATGCATGGAAAGGTATGCAGACTAACAGATAAAATTAAGAATTTTCCTTTGATACCCTTCAATGCCCTCACAAAAGGAAAAGATATTTCTGTTTGAATCTATAAGCATTGTAGACTAATCATAGTGAAATTCATGTTTTTTTATGGCTCTTGAAATAAAGATCCACTCTTTAAAAGGTTGGTTTATGGTTACTCAGTGACATGTCTCAAGGTTCTTAGAATTGAAAAGATGGCAAAGCATTAAATTATGCTGAATCTTCTTATCCAATGTAAATTGATTTGAGGCATGCCAATCTTTTTCAACCTGCCTTTCTTTGTACTCAATACTGAAAGAAGTATCTTTCCCAGCTAAAGAGGCGTGGTGCAGCCCAGTGCCTCCAAAGTGAGGGCTTTTTGTTGGGAAGTGGCTCTTTGAAAGATCAATACCTCTGATATACTACATAAAAGAAGGCCAAATCAATGCCTTTCCCCAGATATCTGCTCCCTTTGCTTTGCTTGTGGTGAGACTATTGAGCACCTGTTAGTCTCTTGCATCTCTGTCTCTTTTATTTGGGATTGGTTTTTTTCTCTCTTTGGTTTCAGGTGGATTCCCCCCTCCCCAAGCAAGCTTCTTTAGGCAACCAAAAAAAGGGGAAAGATGTTGTGCAGTGCAGATCCACAAGAGATGCGGTCTTATGGGCAGTATGGGAGGAAAGAATAATAGGATTTTTCATTGAAAAAGAAAATCGAGGGAGGCTTTGATTGATTGCATCACTATTAAGGTAGTGCACTGGGTAAGATCAGTTGAGTTGTTTAAGGAGTTCTTAGTGGATGATATGATTAGGAGCTGGAATTCAGTAGCAAACTCTACAAGATCCAGTCCAGAAATTCAAGAGAGTTGGGCAGTGTCTACACATCAAAGAATAAAGTTGAATTTGGATGGCAGCTCTTTTGGTAACCTGGGGCCTTCAGGTGTAGGAGGAATCTTTAGAGAATAGGAAGGAAAAATTTGGCTCTTTTTTCGGGGCATATAGGATTGGGAAATGTGTTAAGTGCAGAGGTGTTAGCTTTACTGCAAGGACTGACACTGGCTAAACAGATAGGACTACACCAGATTGAAGTGGAAGGGATTCAAGGTTAGTAATAGACTGGATGAAAGCTGGAAACTTGGGAATCTGGAATCACAGGCAATCTATGAGAGAAGTTTGGTGTCTTACAAAGGAAATAGAAGCAAACTTCAAATGGTTCAGAAGAACAGCAAATGACCCGGCTGATGCTTTAGCCAAAAAGGATCAAACAGGAGTGAACTTCTCTGGGATGCATTGTTAGTTTGTAACGGTGGATCTGTTTTTGGAATCAGCATTCCAGCTATGGAATGCCTGATATGTAACATTATGATTTTAAAATTTAATGATTAAAAGTTGCTATTTCCAATAAAAAAAATACCGAAGAAGGCTGGGTACTGATTAGTTGATTACATGTGTCAAGGTTCTTAGAATTGAAAAGATGATAAAGAATGAAATTATGTTGAATTTTCTTATATTGAGAAACTTGGTTGGAGGTGTGTCGATACTTTATCCTTCATTTTATGTTCTCTGGGTGGATTTTAATATATTTTTCACTTTATATAGAATTTAGTAGAGTACACCTAGAAGCCCTTTTTAAGCGTTTTACTGAATGGGGAATTGGTGCTCCTAGTGGGAGTCAGGTCAGATGGAGAATACCTTCTTTTACACGATGGTCATTGTTGTTTTGGGAGGCAGAGATTGAGTGAGGGGTCCATTTGATGGAGCTAGGAAAGAGAATAAGTAGTTACTAATTGGGGAGCTTTCTTGGTTGGTTTGCGAAATCCACTATCCAATTTATATTCGCTGGTTATTACTTATTAGCATAAAAGTTTTGATTCATGCAATGTGATTCACTCAACAAAGAAGTTAAATTTTCATTAATTTAGGCAGCCCATTCAAGGTAGTTTGATTATAAACCTCCTAATTACATATCCAGAATGGAGAAAACCTTTTGATTCCTACTTAAAGTAAGCAGAAGAATATAAATATGATTAACTACAATCTTAGGGAATATGACAAGTAATTAGGTGACTGATCATGATTTTGTCTTCTGATCAGAACTTCGGGTGAATTTAGGTTGAGAAAAGGGGTGGCCTATACTTCTAACAGGGTAATTAAATGACACTATAACAATCGAATGTTTGTCAGTCAAATTGTTTTTAGTTTTTTTTTTTACTTTCTGTAGGCCTGTAACTAAGGTGATAAATATGCCATCTTTTCTTTTTCTTTTTTCTTTTTTTTTTTTTTTTGATAAATGGTATTGGTTTCTGATTTAGCAGATAAAGAAAGAAGATGGGATGATGTGAAAGTTTCTTGATATGTGGCTAATATGATCTGAATCCTTATGATTTAGAAATTAGAACCAAATATCTTGAGTAGCTAGGACCTCTATGAACCAAATCCTTATGAAAGTTTCCTAGACCTCTAAGATCAATGTGGTCTAAGCATTGGCTAGGTGATTGACTTGTGTAGCTAGGACCCATACAGTTTCAGTAAGGTGTAGGTGGTTGATGGCTATTGGGCAGTCACCCATACCAAAAATATTACATAAACACCCTTGTTACCAAGCATAGAACTGGAGAAGGGAAAGGTTCAGCCGGGTTTGGACATGAGGGATCAATGGAAAATCTTTTTGGGGCTGTGACTACTGTGAAGCAAGATGGGACCGATTATTTAGCTTGGTCTCAATTTATGAAGATATATGTGTGTAGTAGAGGAAAATGGGGTTATATTACCGACAACAAGAAGAAACTGGAGGAGGACGATCCTACCTATGAAAGGTGGATGCAGGAAAGCTACACAATAGTGGGTTGATTAGTGAATTCTATGCAACCACACATTAGTTAGCATTACCCGTGGATGGAAATTGCAAAAGAAGTGTGGGATAGTGTCACAGAGACCTATTCCCAAAAGCTTAATGTTGCTCGGGCTTACAAATTGAAGCATGATGTGAATAATCTTAGACAGGGGGAGAAGCCCTTAGCAGTCTACTTCTCTATGCTGAAATCTCTTTGGCAAGAGATTGATCTGATGGAGATTGTTGTTTAGGGTTGCACAAAGGATGCAGAAACATATAAGAGGTTGGTGGAGAGAAATCAGGTCTTTGAGTTCCTCACTAGACTCATTTCAGAGTATGATATTGTGAGGTAGAATGTTTTAGCAAAGGATGAGGTGACTTTGTCTCAGGCATATACTATGGTGAGCAGTAAGGAGAGCAGGAGACAGGTTCAGTCTGTTGAGCCGCAAGTTGATCACTATACTAATGCTGGGATGAAGTCGAAGGTTAGCATTTGGAAGAAAGATGTTATCTGCGAATACTACAAGAAAGCCTAAACACACTAAAGATACATGTTGGAAGCTGCATCTAGAGCTCATTCCTACCAGATTCAAGAAAGAAAATGGTGGAAAAAGGGTTGAAACCGAAAAAGGTGGAAATGCAAATGTAGCCACCTCTTCACAAGGTGAACAAGGACAGGGTGGAGAGAAGTCAGTGGGAGAACAGCTTGCGGCCGCCAGGGTTGAATATGAGAAGTATGGCCAAATCATCAGTCACTTGGAGTCCATTGCTACAGCTCCTTCAGAGACTCTTCCTTCCTTTGCATATGCTCACTCAGGTATTCGTGCCACTACACATCATGCTTCTGTCTCAGGTACTCATAAAATTCCTTGGATAATTGATTCTGGTGCCTCTGACCATATGACTAGTGTTTTATAGTTATTCACCTCTTACCAATTTCTTTCTGGCCGGGATAAGATATTCCTTGTTGATGGTTCCCTAGCCCCTATCATGGGAAAGGGAGACATTGAGACCCCTAATGCCCTAACCTTATCATATGTTCTTCGTGTACCTTAATACCATCTGTTCTTCATGTACCTTTTTTCCTTCATATTGTGTTTTTCAGGACATGGAATCTCAGAAGGTGATTGGGAGTGGCCATGAGGCGAATTGGATCTATCTGTTAGACATGCCTGAGCAGAGCCGAGTACAACATAAGAGAATTGCATTTGTTTCAGAGTCCACTAGTCATATTATGTTATGTTATAGTCGTTTGGGTCATTTGTCATTTTCTTCATTGAGTCAGATGTTTCTGGAGTTATTTAAAGGAATTAGTCTATCGAGTCTTCATTGTGAGTCTTGTGAGTTCTCAAAGCATTGCAAGAGCACTTATCCTTCAAGTAATAAAAGATCAACTATTCCTTTTAATATTGTTCACTCTGATGTGTGGGGGCCTTACCATTTACCATGTATGGGTAGGTATAAATATTTCATCATTTTTATTGATGATTCATGATGTACTTGGATTTACCTTATGTGCTCTTGGGCTGAAGTGCCTAAACTTGTGCAACAGTTCCATGAACACATACTCACTCAATTTAATACCCACATCAAAATATTCCGGTCAAACAATGCTAAGGAATATTTTGAGAAGGATCTTACCTCCTATCTTGAGAAGTTTGGCATTATTCATCAGAGTTCTTGTGCCCGCACTCCACAACAAAATGGAGTAGCGAAGAGGAAAAATAGACACATTGTGCAAGTTGCAAAGAGCATTCTTTTTGCTACCCATGTTCCTGTGAAGTTTTTGGGTGATACAATTTTAACAACTACTTACCTTATTAATCGCATGCCTTCTCGAGTCTTGGGGTTAAAATCTCCTTTTGGAGTCCCCTTTCTTGATGTTGAGATTTTCTCTATTCCTTTGAGGGTCTTTGGCTGCACTTATTATGTCCACATTCCCAGTTCCAAAAGACCCCAAGGCTCAGAAGTGTATCTTCCTTGGTTATGCCTCCACACAGAAATGGTACTGTTGTTTTGATCCCATTAGTGGCACCCAGTTTGTTTCCATGAATGTCACCTTTGCAGAGTTAGTTCCTTTTTATAGCCATTCTTTTGAGGGAGAGAGATCTCTCAAGTTGTTTTCTTCATCCCTTCCCTTGCCAAATCCAGTTGAGTCTTATGTCAAACTCTCCATAGTTACTTCCATTCTCATGGAGGGATCCTCTCTTTTGAGGTCTTCCGCTCCTGCTCCTCCCCCTCCTCCTGCTAGTCCTCTAGTTGTTTCCACTCATCCTATTCTCTAGAGGTGGTACCAGTGGCAAAGGCTAAGGCAAACACAGGTTGATCCTAGACCTCGGTTGAGTCTCAAGCGCTCCCGATTACTGGAGAGAGGATATGTCCATCACCTCCTCCACCAGCACCCTCATTTCCAAACCTTGATCTACCCGTTGCTTTGAGAAAAGGTAAAAGGAAATGTACAACTCATTTTATTTTCTAACACCTTTCTTACAGCTTGTTGTCCCCATCCTACTGTGCCTTTCTAGCCTCCATTTCCTCTCAATCTATCCCAAGGTCTGTTTCAGAAGCCTTAGCCACACCAGATTGGAGGGATGCTATGAGTATTGAAATAGAAGCCCTTCATAAAAACAATACCTGGGATRTTGTTGACTTGCCAACTGGAAAGGAACTTGTTGGGTGCATGTGGGTTTTCATTATCAAGTATCATGCAGATGGGTCAATTGAGAGGTATAAGGCTCGGCTTATTGCCAAGGGATATACCCAGGTATATGGGATAAATTACACTGAGACCTTTTCTCCAGTTGCTAAGATGACTTCGGTGAGAGTTCTTTTATCCATAGCAGTGGGATATGATTGGCCTCTGTATCAATTTGATGTTAAGAATGCATTCCTGAATGGTGATCTCACTGAAGAGGTATATATGTCCCTTCCTATGGCAAGGAAATGCATGGTAAGGTGTGTAGATTGAAGAAATCACTCTATGGCCTRAAACAATCTCCATGTGCTTGGTTTGACAAGTTTAGGGCTACTCTTGTTCAGTTCGGCTACACTCAAACTCAATCAGATCATACCCTCTTTGTTAAGAGAAAAGGCACTCTGGTGACATTTCTTATAGTTTATGTAGATGATATTGTGGTTACTGGCAGTGATACAGAAGGAGTTTCTCAGTTCTAAATTTGAAAAAGATTTAGGGGAGTTGCGGTATTTTCTGGGCATTGAGGTTGCTAGGTCCAAGGAATGTATCTTTATTTCTCAACGGAAGTATGTGCTAGACCTTCTTACTGAGACTGGAAAATTTGGTGCTAAACCTGCCTCTACCCTTATTGATGTGAATCATAAACTTTTAGCTAATGATGGAGAACTTTTAGCTGATAGGGGAGTGGTTTAGAGATTATTGGAGAAACTTCTTTATCTATGTATGACTCGTCTAGACATTTCATAAGCTATGAGTATCATTAGCCAGTTCATGCATGCTCCCAGAGACACACATATGGCTGCTGCAGAAAGGGTGTTATGCTACTTTAACGGAACCCCCGGGAAGGGTATATTATTTGCTAAACATGGACACATGGACACATGAAAGTAGAAGCATATACAAATGCTGATTGGGTAGGAAATGTGGATGACAGGAGATCCACATCAGGATATTGTGCTATGGTAGCTAGAAATATTGTTTCCTGGAGAAGCAAAGAGCAATTAGTGGTTGCTAGATCTTCGGCTGAGGCAGAGTATAGAGCTATGGCCCATGGTGTTTTTGAGTTGTTATGGCTTAGATCTCTCCTTAATGAGATGGGTGTTCATGTGATGAGCCATTGATGTTGTATTGTGATAACCAAGTTGCTATTAACATTGCTCACAACCTAGTTCAGCAAGATAGAACTAAGCACATTGAGGTAGGCAAACACTTTATACGGGAGAGAGTAGCTTCAAGAGAGGTGTGCCTACCTTTCATTGCATCAGAAGAGCAGCTAGTAGATTTTCTAACTAAGGGAGTCCCAAAGGCAAAGCTTCAACATTATGTAAGCAAGCTGGGCATGATTGACATCTAGTGTTCTTTATTTCTTTTAAGTAGTATTTAAAAGTTATGTTTCTTAGTTATGGGCCTTATGGGCCTTCTTTTATTTTCTTTAATTATTTCTTTAGTGCTGGCCACCCCATTAAGGGCATCCAAGTAATTGTACTCAAACTCAGAATTATTAATAAGTGATGAAAGGGGGCTAGAGAGAGGCTTGAATTATTCTTTTCTCTCTTCCCTTCTTTTCTTCTTCCAAAACCTATTGCTGAAACTTCTTTCTTCTTTCTTCTTTCTCTTTCTCTCTTTTATTCTTTTCTTGCATTATCTGAATTTCTGTAGGTGTAATTTTCAACTATATCTATTGTGATGCCATGACTAGTTGGTTGTCCAAGGCTAGGGTTCTGAGCTAGATGTATAATAACAGCAGCTGGCCTTTGTGAATTATTACCTAGGCTTTTATAGGAGCAGGATCTTCTGTATTTCTTTTGGAAAAGCTCATTATCTATGCTCATACTCAAGTTATTAGGAAAAAGAGGACCTTACTTCACCAACCAAGTTCTATGTAGTTTAAGCATTGGGTAGGTGATTGGCTTCTGTAGCCAGGACCTGTATCAGCTGCACTTAGAAATAGGTGATTGATGACTATTGGGAAGTCACCTGTACCAAGAGTATCACATGAATATTCTTGTTTAATTTATTTTTTAATCATAGTAAAATATCACTTGTAACCAGTGTAATAAATAATTATTTTAACAGCCAAGTGTCACAACCTTCACTTGGAGACCATTCGTGGGACTTAGTCTGTGGGAACACTAAAGGACAAAAACCCAAGGGACACAAAGATGAATACATATAAGGACAATGGTGGAAATTTTTGTAAATAACATAAAGATTATTTCATGGTGGCACCTCACCATAGCATGAGGCGGTACATGAGTTGGTGTCAAAAGAAAAAAAAAAAAAAAAAGAGGTGGCATAAGAGTTGGGAGGTCTCCTGCTGGTTGTAGCGGAGACTTGGGATTGAATCCTGCTTGCACCTGGGTTGGGGGATGAGTTACCCCTGTTGTGTAGCCCTTCTGAAGATATTAAAAAAAAAAAAAAAGAGTTGGGAGGTGTCACTTCAAGGGAATTAGGTGACATTTAGGTTGTGTTTGGTTTGAAGGAAAAAGTAGGGAAAGGAAGGGAAAGGTAAGGAAACCTTTACAAACCTAGTATTGGTTTCCCTACATTTCCCTTTCTTTCCCTACCTTTTCCTTCAAACAAAACATAGCATTAAAGGATTGCCACCAGAACAAGGAGTAGTGACACACTAACACTTAAATGGTTAGGTCATGTCAACCCAGTAGGTTAGCTGCCAAAGGATGTGAGTTAATGGTGAGTCGTGGGGTTGTCATTGATTGGGGAGGTTAATCTCATTTTCATCATGCCTTAAACTTTTTCATGATAATTTTATTCCTTTAAGTTTTCAACTTCATCAATCTCATCCGAATGCAAGTAAGATTCCACTCTTCAAGTACACTCACTGTAAACTGTTTTTGTTGCTCAGTTTCTTGATGGCAGAGTCATATTTGTGGAAGTTGCAAAGCCAAGGTCAGAGCTGCGCCAAATTCAAAGAAAATCCCAAAAGTATATTGAAGATCTCGGCTTACTCTGAAATATTCCTGGATATCATGCACCAAATAAGTTGAATGCAGCTTCTTGTGTATACCTCCATACTGTAGCCTGTTCGGTCAGTATGCCGTGGCTAGTAATTATTTGCTGTATAATCCTATTCCATCAATACCTACATGAAGAGTTCTTAAGATATTATCCAGAGTTCTTACTGCAATAGTTGTAGTTATAGAGTATTAGAAATGTTAGATTAAAGTCATTTGTTTATGAAGCTTGTTTCCTGAACAGGAAGGTCTGATGTTAAAAAAGGCCATTGCCCAATGTTGATCCCAATTCCCAACTATCAAAAATTCTGTCCATAGCATCTAGTTGCACATTGGGAATACTTCCCATATATTTATGTTAAATTCATGGGTGAGGAGATCTTCCCAATGTGGGGTCGGATCCCCATGCTTGCAGAGTGTGTGCAGAGTTTTTGCTTGCAGGGAACATCATATCTTGAGAAGGCTAGACTGGGTTTGGCATTATTCATAAAAAATAATAATAAAAAAAGAATGAATAGGAAGTTCTGGTAGTTATTGTACATACATCAATAAATCTGTGATTCTTGCAAATCTGTGCCCATACCAATAGTCCCAATCTTTGGTAGGTCATCAAAGATCCTATAGGTTGATCAACATTCTTTTTTAAACTACCTAATTGCCCATCCAATTGCAAACTTACATTCATCTACATTGAAAATGAAACCGTAAGCTCAAAAAAATGCTGGGGCCCATGAAATTTTTGTATTTTTGTCTTTTTTAATATTTATTATTTAATATAAATAATATGACATCATGGGTTGATTTATATGACCCAAGGTTGGACCATTAACCCACCAAACAGAAATGGTTTCATTTTGGATCAGTTTTAAATTGTTTCATTTACATCATTAATAAAAAAAATTATTCATCAGACTTATTTTTGTTTAATATGATTAATATACAATATTAGAGATGTGCCTAAATTTTCTACAGTATCTTGTAATTTTTCTATATCTAAAAGTTTTATTATTTAACTTTGACATCATTAGTTGGCTCATTTTACCTGAACAGTTGAATCATTGACCCACCTCCTATAGTTTCGTTTCTGGATCAAGTATAAATTTTCTATTCCATTTTAACCATTAATAAAAATAGTTCTTATCAATTAATTTTATTTTATTTAATAGTTTAATGTAATAAATATATAATATTAGAAATGCACCCAAGTTTTTCTACTCTTTTCTTTAGTTTTTTTTAATTTTTACAGTTTAAATTTTTATTATTTAATCATGACATCATCGATTTGACCCATTTAACCCAAATGGTTGAATTGCTTACTGCCACCTAGGCAGAAAAAACAGTTTCATTTTCAGGTTTTAAAAATATAAGTTGTTATACTACAAAATTATGGATGTATGAATTTAACTACTGAAATTTAACAATGTAGGTATGTATAAACATGTATTTTATCAATTAATAATGTATAATTATGTTCTACATGTAATATATGTATTATTTTATATTTAATTTATGTTTTTAATTTTTTATTTATAAAAATATTAAAAATTGCGATTTGAGGCAAAAAAGAGTTATTTTTTTGAAAAAAATAGCAAGGCAAGGTGTGCATGGCACCTTGGAATGAATAGATCTTGAAAAGTTACCAAAAAAAAAAGATCACCCCAATTGGACATTGGAGTGCAAAGTTATGGCTTTTGAAAGTTTGTACATACATTGAGTGTGCAACCTGCAACCAGGTCATCGGGTCAACGGTTGAATTGCCCAAATTAGGTGATTTTTGACCAAGTTAACAGTTTTTTACTGAACGATAGGTTTCAATAGAATCGAACCGAAATCAAGGTTGGGTGATGGTTTGAACAGTTCAACTGTTCATGTCAACAACAAGTTGAAAACATGCTTCCAATTCTTAAAACTAGTCTACTTGTCTCATTACCCGCATTCTTCTAATGCTGGCCACCCCTATTGCCATTTTTAGTAAGGTTCTATTTAGGAAGAGTGCAAATACAAGTGTGTACAATGTAAATACAAGGTTTAGAAATTCCATATACAAGGTTTTACACAGGAACATATTTGTATTTTTACTCTTTCCATTGGAAAGAGTAAAAATACAAATATCTATAGTACAAATGTACACAAAATACAAGGTTTTGCACTCTACACATTTGTATTTGTTCTTCCAAACTAGGCCTTAGGATATATTTGGTTTCAATGCAAATCTGAACCAGATATGAACTCTACACCCAGTTCAGTTTTGCATATCCGTTTGTAATTATAATTTGCATTTGTACCTGATGCAAAATTTGTACTATTTGTCTCATTTGTATTCACTAGCAGTGTAAATTTTACACATTAAAAACTAGTGCAAAATTTGCACCACCTTCCTCCTATCTCAATTCTCTCTCACATAAAGTGGGGACTACATTTTCCTAACTCATTCCTAGACAAATAACCCTCTTCCTACCTAGTTGTCTTGCATATGAGATGGGACCACATGCAACATTTTATTTCCTATTTTACTTTTCACAAACAAATAAGACAATGTCAAATATGAAGTAAACGTAAACTAGAATTTACACAGCCTATTTGCACTCCCATGCATTTATATAAGTGCAAATAAAATTTGCATTGTAGCCTTATGAGCAAAAAAGAATTGTGGCAATATCACCTTGCTTTATACATTTTTTTTAATTGTTTGCCTCGATCCTTTAAACATTATTCCAACTTTATGGTGTAAGATGGATAGACGTATATATATATATATACACACACACACAATAGTCTAGAAATTTTCTCCTTTTTTTTGAATTATTTATTTTTTATTCCATATCATTTTTTATACAACCAATGAGATGCCCTCCTTTCCCAATAACCTAAATAATACCCATTCCTAAAAATTTCTCCTAAACTACCTCCCTCACTATTCCCCACTTTCTCCTAAATTATCTCTAATTCCTATTTATCTCCTAAATTATCTCTAATTTAGTAGAGAGTTTCTCTGTGTAAAACGGGCCATGCCAGGTTGGCATGGCACGGCCTGCTTGCAGCTTGTTCAAAGTGTGGATTGTGCTGTGCCGGCCCGCGGGTCGTCTTGGGCCATTCCACCCTCCCCAGGGATAATTTGGGGGTTTGGCCTAGCACGACCCACGACCTAAGCCCATGCAGGCCCATGCCGTGTTGCGAGATTGGGTCGGGCAGGTTGCAAGCCGTGTCGGGCCTTGGACATGGGCTAAATCAGGCCAAACATTTTTTTTTTGTTTTTTTTTAATTTTTTTTTATTTCTTTGCTAAGTAAAAACTAAAACATTTAACTTTCCTTTGGCCTTTGAGAACTATTTAAAAAAAAAACAAGAAATCTAACAAAGAAATGAAAAAAAAAACTTAACCAAAAAGAACTCAAAGAGGCAAAGTGAATAACAAATTGGAAGAAAAATAGGAATTTTATTTCATTTAAATTTGAATGATACAAAGTATACAATGATTGGATGAATGAAATATGAAAATTGGAAAATGAAATAAATTAATAAAACATAAAAAATACAATATACTTACAAATTGAAAATAAAAAACTATGTTATTAACAAATCAAATAAATTAAATAAAATTAAAATAGAATTTACAATAATTTGAAAAAATGCTATACAACTATTGAGTATAAAAAAAATATTGACTTCATCATTTTCTCCTATTGTTCTTGACTTTGATCATTTGCTTAAGGTGAAACATCAGGTGTAGTGCCATGCCCTTTTTTGTCTTGTAATTTATCTTCAACATCCAGCCAATCTTTAAAGTAGATGCACATCTCTGGATTTTCATCATTCATACAACTTTTCTTGTTGCCCAACATCCTACCTGCACTAAAACAAGACTCCAATGGAATTGTAGACACTGGAGGAGTTAGTAGATCATGTGCCATGGTGGTGAGAACTAGATAATTTTTTGCATGTTCACTCCACTGGGATAAAATATCAAAACTATTTGTTCTCTCCGAGGTGAAGAAAGAATCATCTAAAGTAGAAAAATTTGTTTGTAAATAAAAATTAAGTTCAGTAAATGAACTTGTTGTCGAGATAGTAGATTTTTGTCTCTTACTTATTAAATAAAAAAGTTTTTCTCTTCCACTACTAGACTCAAATTTAAGTGGAAGATATAGTTGTACAAGTTATAGAATTTTTATTATTCCCTGTTACTTCAGAATCATATAAACTATACATTTCAAATAATAAACTATTAATTTCTTCTTTTTTATTTCCAATTTTAATATTCATATTTTTACAATATGTTTCAAGTAAAATATCTAAACCATATTTCCTAATCCTAAGATCTAATATTGTAATTAAGTAATAAAGAGGAAAAATGTTCTCCCAATATTTTTTAAATTTATTTTCCATTATTTCAATAATACTTTTAAATTGTGGTTTTTTTTTTCTATATTTTTCAAAATAATCGCTAATCATCATTAACTGATAAGCTAAATTACAACTAGTTGGATAATAAATACCCGATAATTCATTAGTTGCATCATAAAAATGTTTTAAAAAATCTCTTAGACAAATTTCCATTTCTCAGTCTTCCTCAAATATAATATCAGTAGGCATTTTTGCATTATAAAAATCACTAAGAATTTGTTTGTGAGAAATACAACTTTCTAAGATAGCATAGGTAGAATTCCACCTATGTTTAACATCTAATATAAAATTTTTCTATTTTAAACCATAATTTTGAAATAAATATTTAAATTCTTGTTTTCTTGCTTCATAACTTTTAATATTTATAATACAATTTCTAATTTTAGAAATATGAGTAGAAATAATATTTAAAACATCCTGAATACATAAATATAATATGTGACATGCACATCTGATATGAAATAATTTACCATTTAAACAAGGTTTTAATTGAGATTTTAAAATATTTATTGTTGAATCATTATTACTAGCATTATCAAAACTGATAGAAAATAATTTATTATCAATTCCATAAGCATGTAAAGTATTTAAAATGATTGTAGCAGTAGTTGGGTAGTATGTGGCCATTTAAGCCTAGTAAAACTTAAAATTCTTTTATTTAAAAGCCAATTTTCTTCAATAAACTGATTAGTAACACTAACTTATGTTAAATTTAGAAGTTCAAATATCATAAGTAATTGCAACTTTAGAATTAAGATTTGATAACATATAAATTAAATTTTGTTTATATGAATAAAATTTTTTTAAAGCATATGATCTAATAGTATTCTTAGAAACTTTTTTAAATTGTGAATTTACAGAATTACATAACCATTTTTCAAGTTTAG